ATAAATACTCGCGTTTACGAACACCGCAGCTCCCCGGAAATTCGACCAGCTTAAGACAGCATGCTCAAGAAATCGCCTAACAGCGTGAACTTCGTGCTGAAATTCTGCCTCAAACGTCAGCATTCAGCTCGATATGAGCCAGAATAATATCTTTCAGTAGAACTTCATTCAGCTGTACATCGAGTCTGGCCTTTGAGCTGCACTCAAACGCGCTATCTTTTTAAGCATGCACCGACGTGATGTTCTGACCTCCATTTCACAAGTCCCCATCCCACTTCACAAGTCACTCCTCCACTTCACAAATCCCCCTTCCCACTTCACAAGTCCCCCTTCCCACTTCGCAAGTCATTTCCGACTGGACGCATTTTCGCTTGCGCGCTCAACATTCAAAATGCGGAAGGCGGAAATGAAGGCTGCAGCGGCGCTTGTCGGCGTTGTCATACGATGACCTACGCCATTTGTATGACGTACGATACGAAGTGAACAATCCACAATAAACAAACTTTGTGGGCACTGAAAATAACGCTCGTGATGGCGTAAAATGATGAGTCTATTTTACCGCGCATACTTACTTTCAATTATTATTTTCCATTATATTTTCCATGGGCAGGGTGGCCCAGTGGTTACAGTTCCTAGAGTTACGTCATCATATCAGCACTTACGCCACTCGTAAGTCGATTTTGCGTACTTACGAAGTTTTGATAATACGGCCCCAAAATACCAAGATTGGCGCAGAGAGGCGCGGGTTCGATCCCAGCTCTGTGCGCCAGCCGGTCTGAATCGGCGAGGAGGCCGGGCGGTTAAGCACAGCAGAATTGTAGCAGCGAGTTGCGAGTTCGAGACCGCAACGAGCTGTGACTGTTCTGCTGTGTTAAGAATCGGCGACAGGCCTACGGCCTAATAAACGCTGAAACCGCTATACCAAGATTGGCGCGGAAAGGCGCGGGTTCTATCCCAGCTCTGTGCGACAGTTTCTGGTCAGAATCGGCGAGGAGGCCGGGCGGTTAAGCACAGCAGAATTGTAGCAGTGGGTTGCGAGTTCGAGACCGCAAAATGCTGTGAATGTTCTGCGTTGTTAAAAATCGGCGACAGGCCTACGGCCTAATAAGTGTTGAAACCGCTATTATTATTATTATTATTAAATTTTTTGGCGAAGTTTCGCGTAGGTTTTATTAGGTGTCAGAAAGTGTTCCGTTCCCTTCAAAATACGGGATATTCAAAAATCATGTGTCATCACTTAGATTGTCATCAATTAAGCCAATTTTGGCAAATTATCTGCATTATGCAAATTTTACCAGAGACTAATTTTAATTGCGGTGCAGAATTCAAATTAAGTCGCTCAATTTGACTCCTGATGTCGAGTCAACAGTGTGACAAATTCTAGTTTCAACATAGAGCTGCTTGGAACAGCTTTCAAAATAGTGCATTAATAATAGATAATAATAATAATAGATAAAATAGAGCTTTGATAATAGTGCAGCAATATTAGGAAATTTTGCACAATAACTAATGCTTTGTGACAGATAATAACTTGTACAAGTGTGAATTATAGTGCATTATGAGCCGTATTATAGGTATTTTGCCAAGAATTAATGTTCTGTTACAGGCAAAGATTATAGTATATAGTGCATTGCGACCCGTATTAGGATCTTTTGCAAAATAATTACTGCTTTATAGCAGAAAATATTAGCAGGTGTGAATCATAAAACGGCATGAGTGATGCGATATCGCCTTTATATCGCATTTTATATTTATATTTAAATATAAAATACCGTATGTATCTAAATTCTCAAAGTTAGCACTGCAAAGGAAATAAAGACACAGAAATGCATTAGAATTTGTAATACGAAAATAATTTTCGTTAAGACACAATACTCAGCGTGTTGATTAATGCAGTGAAATACTGCCAAGCATGGAAGGTAAGCTGCAGGTCACACGCATATATTTCTCTGATTCTGCTTTTGGAGCTTTGATAAAGAGCTTTATATTGAAAGATAAGTTTTATAAGAAAGGTTTAAGCTTTAACAAAGAGTTTTATATTGAAATATAAATTTTATAATAAAGGTAAGCTTTAACAAAGAGCCTTATATTGACAGATGAGTTTTATAAGAAAAGTAAGCTTTAACAAAGAGCTTTATATTGAAAGATAAGTTTTATAAGAAAGGTAAGCTTTAACAAAGATATTTATATTGACAGATACTCGAATACTACTGAAAAAATTAACAATGATCATGCATTCGGTAATTACATTTATGATTTGAGTTTAGTTTGAGGTCAGAATTTAGATTGGTAGCCAAATATTTGGTGTCTAAGGACATGCTACATTGTGAATGGACCAAATAGTGAGTATGGAAAGCCATGAATCAAGCCACCCAATGAAGATATTATAATTATTTGATTATAATTAAAGGCAACATGCGGTTTTAAGTTATATTGCCATTAGCATCAACAAAGCACATTTGGTATTGTAGAATATTATTCATCTGCACCAAATGTAAGTCATCCAATTGACAAAAAAGTTTGAAAAAAACAATTCAACTCTTCTAACAGCGTTAAAATAAAACTGAATCAAAAAGAACATTCGTAGGTCTAAATATTCATTAAAAAAACGAGTTATACTGTCCAAGTAGTGGCACATTTTCTCCGTATCTCACTGATACGCGATTTTTTTAGCGCATTTTCTCATTTATGGAAAAATGCACTATTGTGCTCGCCATGTCCGTCTGTCTGTCCGTCCGTCCGTCCGTGACCTCAAGTTTTCGTCGACGAGAAAATGCGCTCTCAGTCAATCACTACAGTGAGTACTGTGTTATATTTTTTTATCTTAAGTGAGTCTGAATGATGCACGAAAAAAGTTTTTTTTTTCTCACAAAGTCACACTAATGTTTCTTAGTTTTGACGATATTAGACGAAATTGTTTTACGTTCCGTCCGAGTTATCGAAGTGCGGGAGCTGACAGCAAGGCCGGTACGCTTTCTCTCGCACTTGCGTGCATCCAATTAGCGTTATATTCGAACAACTGTACACTGTATAAACAATTTATAATTGTACAAGATGTGCAACTGTACGCTGCACGTACAAAAATATAACTCAGTACTCACTGCAGTGAGTGACAGAGAGCGCATTTTCTCGTCGACGAAAACTTGAGGTCACGGACAGACAGACGGACAGACGGACGGACGGACGGACATGGCGAGCACAATAGTGCATTTTTTCCATAAATGAGAAAATGAGATTATGCAATGGTTGGATTATGCAATGGTTGGATTATGCAATGGTTGGATTATGCAATGGTTGGAAGATGCAATTGTTGGATTATGCAATGGTTGGATTATGCAATGGTTGGAAGATGCAATTGTTGGATTATGCAATGGTTGGATTATGCAATGGTTGGATTATGCAAGGTTTCCAATGTCCGTACGCAGTTGCTGCATAAAATATCATATTTAACGCAGTTTTATGTTCTTCATACAACACATGATCCGAATTTAAGTCATAATTCTTGACGATTTCTACCAGAGCACTTTAAGTTGTTTCATCTCGATTGCTATATATTAAATTATTATTGGTTTCAATAACATTTATGAGGAATAATGATTCCTATTCCAACTCGAAATTTGTGCAATTCCGTACAAAAAATTGTTTCGCACAAAATTTCGTCCAAAACGCGTTCGAATTTTGAACGCAAAGCCGCGCGCCGTTAGGAAATGCGTGAATGAATTCAAATCACGAATTCTTAAACAAATTTGAATTCAAATTTGAATTCAAATCACGAAACTCAGAAAATCAAACATCGCTTTTGTCCAATTTAATGAGCGACTCCTACCAAGTTATCGTGACTAACATATATAGATATTGCAAGCAAATTTCAGATAACACGTTTCCAATTTTCGCAAAGCTCAGTCTCTCAAAAGCACGAATGTTCAACGTCAATACGAAAAATTATCTTTATTATATGATTGAAAAAATTCAATACGAAAAATTATCTTTATTTTATTATCGAAAAAATGATCAGACGAAACCAGTGACATGCATATTTAAGGTGAAAAACTCAAACTTGAAGCAGTTTCGTTGTGAAGGTGAAAGTTATTTATCAATGAAACATATTTATCAACGAAAGATGTGTAATGCCGCAAGATAAATAACGACGAAATATATTTAAAGACGAAAGATATTTAAGGACGACAAAAGATATTTATCGACGAAAAATATTTATCGATAATAGATATATAACGCCGGAAGATATTTATCGCCGAAAAATATTCAACTATACCTGAATATTATCTAGAGACTAGATTCAATAAAGTAAAATATCATTGAAACGCAATCATACACTCAGTGAAAAAAGTGAGACTCTGTCCAAATAGCGATATACTTTTTGTACGTGTCATCCTGACACAGTTTAGCAATTCAAATGGGGTATCAGTTCAAATGGGTAACAATTCAAATGGGTAGCAATTCAAATGGGGTATCAGTGCTACGTCCACTCTCTGCGCGTGTTGTGGATGAGAAATTGTCACTTTTTGGACAATATTATCTATTTATTTTTCAGAGTGTTAAAACTTTTCGCTTAAATTTTACTATTAATTGTACATGAGTTTTTTTTTAATGAACCGAAGCAACGAAATTGTGAACATAGAAAGTAATGTATAGAAAAATACAAACTACAATAACAATACAATACAATATTGCACAAAATTAATGCACCTCAACCCCAGGATCTCATTCAGAAAAATGAATGGGTTTCATTGTCCAAATAATAACACACTACCTGCACGAGGCACTGAAAAACCTTTTTTTTATCAGCCCAAAGTGAGTCAGAATGACCCACGAAAGGGAAAAAATGCGTCGATATTTTGGCCGAGTTATACTCTTTTTAGCGCATTTTCTCATTTATGAAAAAATGCTATATTGTGCTCGCCATGTCGGTCTGTCCGTCCGTCTGTCTGTCCGAGACTTCACGTTTTCGTCGACGAGAAAATGCGCTCTCTGTAACTCACTGCAGTGAGTACTGAGTTATATTATTTTTAGTGTTCAACACAAAAATCCCCCAAAACTAACCGGAATTTGGAAAACTAAAATAAATCCTCAAAATTTCCAAAAAAATGAACCTATCCTGACACGAAAGTTCATATTCAGTAATGCTTTAAGTTCCCGCCTTTTAATTGCTATGTAAAAGTGAGATCAGACAAAAAATTAGGAGCTATTCAAGATTTTCTTCGTTCCGAACACATTGAGGCGCAAAATCATTTTCTGAATCAACATCATTTTTCTGAATATTTAACGCAAGCTTGTAACGTCAACAGATGTTTGCAACATAATCGAAACGTTGTAACAAAACAGCAGTTTACAACGTCAACCTAAGTTACATTTTCGTTTATTTATTTTCAGTTTGGAACAAGTCGGGTTAAGATTCGGAAGCTTCAAGCAATTTATCTGAATGAAGGAAAACATTCAGTATATAAATATATACATTTAGTACACATAACACAAATAGGCAAAATAAAAACCATACTTTGCACATTACAAAACTAATTATAACCTATATACAGAAGGAAGTAAAAGCCAAGCACGAGATAAATAGTGGAAGCTAACACTTAAAGTATTGAAACATGATATCTTAATTCATGTTATGACATTAGCCTTCATGTTGTGACATTAGCCCTCATGTTGTGATATTAGCCCTCATGTTGTGACATTAGCCCTCATGTTGTGACACCAACCCTCATGTTGTGACACTAACCCTCATGTTGTGATACTAACCCTTATGTTGTGACACTAACCCTTATGTTGTGACACTAACCCTCATGTTGTGACACTAACCCTCATGTTGTGACACTAACCCTCATGTTGTGACATCAGACATTAGACTCATCGCATCAACAGAGAAAATATATTTGTGCGTGCGTAAAAAATAAGTCAAAAATCAAGCTCGTCAGGAACAAGGCTGAAATATCAGATGAAAACTTGCGGAAATATATGAGTAGTTAAAAATGCAGGATACAGACAAACATAACAGTTGCAAGAACAGCCAAAGCGCGACGCCACAACGCACGACGCATAATATAAAACTAATCAAGTAAAATAAAAAAGCAAATATTTTTTAAAGCCAACAAATATCAGATGTAGTACGTATTCAGAACAAATTTTGAATGAAAGGCAGGTCTGCACGAGGCTCAAGTTCAGTAACCAAAAAGAATTATCCACAACTGTTTATTTATTTATTATTTAATATTTTGTTGACCAAATTAACAACTGCGGCGAGAAAATTTAATTGACGGATATTGTGTCGGATCAAATAGCTCGCTTTATGCAATTATGCTTTCAAGTTACAGGTCTGTACAAATCACTGCCACTATACTTTAGCTTAAAGATATATACAAATCAATGGAATGGAACAACTATCACAAGGCTGTGCTTCTGTAGCCCTTATTCGCATTCTGCTCATCTTCCTTATTATCTGTTCCGGGAACTGTTCTTTTCTGAGCCGACGTCGGCGCTGACAGTCTTTTGGTGTCCACCTTGACTCGGTTTCTTGGGCTGGGACCGGATTGTCTAACCTGGGACTTTTTCTTCTCAGGACGGGAGTTTTCTGATGTTCCTGGCATTCTTGATGCCGATGGAAATTTCCCAGGGGTTTTGTGTCTTCCATCTAAGTTAGGAGGACTGTTGGAGAAGGGAGAAGTAGGAGCTGGTGAAGACTTCGACGGCCGAGTTGCTCTTGTGACAGATCGTCTCTGAGGTGATGAGGTTGGGGCGTCTGTTTTAGACCGCGATTTTCTAACCAACGGAGATGAAATCCTGGGATTTCGAGATTTTTGTGAATCTAATGTATCTCTAGCGGATGCATCAGGTAAAAGATGCTCGATGGGAGATAATGGCAGCGATGTCTCGGGAACAATAGACAACGGAGGCGGACACACGGTGGGTGATTCCGGACCCGGTGATGAACTTCTGCGAGAAACCTGCGAGATCGCAGTAGAAGGAGTCATGTCTGACGGCGGCAAATGAGCCGTGGAATGTTTAGCTTCCGGCTGAATGTCAGGCGATGAAGTGACTTCGGTTGGATGTCCATCCCAGAAGATTTGATCGTCCTCAACGGTGTCAGGCTGCAGGATGATGTGCTTGGACTTCATCCACACGGCAACGTCCACGAAAAAGGCCAAAAGCATCACGGCAGCCGTGATGCCGTGGAAGACGAGTCTAAAAAAACGAGTGTCGTAAAGCTGACAGTCTCCGAAAGTGCCACATGTTGACCGCCACTGGATACACGCTGCATCAACTATACCTCCGTAAATTATTGGACACGGCATGTTGCCGAAAAGGCCAATGGCGAGAGAGATAAGGCCTAAAGCCATTGCCTTGTCTTGTTTTTGGCAGCAACGCAGAGTTATTAACATACCGCCAACTTCAGCAGTGGAATGAATGATAACAAATACAGCGAAGATGACGATGTACCAGACAACAGAAGTGCACTCCAAGTCACACAGACGCAGCTCTGCTGTCATGTCGGCCGCCACACACTCACATTCACTGAACCCAACGGCACTCGAGTCGTTCACTTTAACGACTGCAGAACAACCGAGATGACAAGCACTGAAGTGGGTTTTACCATCGCGTGTACACACGGGAGCGTATAACGAATCATCACAGGATCCCGCACAAGACCGATTACAAAGAGGTTCAAAAACGGGGGTTGATGAGCCGTCCTTGAGAACCATGCCGGCGATGTCGTCTTGTTCGCAGCCTACGAACATAAGGACGACCATACCGACGCTGTAGAGCAGAGCGGTCACGGCGATCCAGGCGGTGATGGCGCGGGCAGACGGGCGTCGGTGGCGAATGTAGATACCGCTTATCAGGATACCCACGCCCATCAACAGGATGCCGCCCGTGCCTATGGCAAACATTTCAAATTAAAGAACAGTTTTTTATACGGAGATTGAAGAGCAGTTTGTTTTATACGTAGATTAAAGAACAGTTTATTTTATACGGAGAATAATGAACAGTTCATTTTATTCGGAGATTAAAGAACAGTTCATTTTATTCGGAGATTAGAGAACAGTTTATTTTATTCGGAGATTAAAGAACGGTTTTTTATACGGAGATTGAAGAAAAGTTTTTTTTGTACGGGTTATTGCTTTAACACGAATTTTAAAGCAAATAAAATGCCAGTTGCATTAATAACAGCACCAAATTGAACTGGTGATGAATTTGGTCTCCGAAACATTTTAAGTGAATATATGTATTTATGAGTGCTTTGCGTTTTAGTTTCTTTGCTACTCCTGATATTTTAGGATGCATTAACATAGTATATTAATACTATATGTTCTTCGATAAGATATCATAACACCTTAACGATCACGAACACCTGAACGAGCACGATCAATAATAATAAATAACAAATATTATTCATTACAATATCATCAATCAAGTTCATTTAAAGGGCAAAAAACATGTGAGGACCGGCAAGCATGCATGGCGGCGGTGTGAACTACAACTGAACATCATCACATAATAAAGTATATTCAACTCTATAAAATGATGAGAAAACATATATTATTCGTTAAAATATCATCAATAAAGTTTATAAAACAAGTAAGGACCAGCAAGCATGGCGGCGGTGGGGACAGGTAGCCTGAACTGCGTCTCGAGGTACTTGGGGAGGAAGGTGTAGAGCCCCGCGATGGGGAGGATGTGCAAGACGCTGCTGGCGGTACGCAGCACCAGCACAGGGTTACGCAGCTGCCGGCGCACCGCGCGGGGGAAATCTGCAACGTTGGTAACATTGTTTGGGGGTTGCAAATGTGATTGAATAATTTGGCCGATTATTGAAAATAGATTAATTGAGCATATTGGTTAAAATTTGCAGAAATGCAAATGGGAATGAATAATTTGGCCAATTTTCGATTAATTGAGCATATAGGATGATAGTTACAGAAATAATAATATTGGGGAATATTGGTTGGGGGTTGCAAATGGGAATGAAGAATAAGGCAATTATTGATTAACTGAGCATATAGGATGAAAGTTGCAGAAAGAATAATATCGGCAATATTGTTTGAGGGTGCAAATGGGAAGGAATAATTTGGCCAATTATCGAAAATAGATCAATTGAGCATAATGGTTAAAATTTGCGGAAATGCAAATGGGAATGAATAATTTGGCCAATTGTCGGAAATAGATTAATTGAGCATGTCGGATGAAAGTTGCTGGAAGGATAATATTGGTAATATTGTTTGGGGGTTGTAAATGGGAATGAAGAATTTGGCCAATTGTCGAAAAAATATAACTCAGTACTCACTGTAGTGAGTGATAGAGAGCGAATTTTCTCGTCGACGCAAACGTGAAGTCACGGACGGACAGACAGACGGACAGACGGACGGACGGACATGGCGAGCACAATAGTGAATTTTTTCCATAAATGAGAAAATGCGCTAAAAAGATTAATTGAGCATGTCGGATGAAAGTTTCTGAAAGGATAATATTTGGGAATGTTGGTTGGGGGTTACAAACGGGAAAAAACGAAGTGAAGCGTCGAAACTCTATTAATTTTCTAGCTCAAGTATAGATATTTGTAGGGAATTGCAAACGAGATTATAGAATTTATTCCACCGTCAAAAATTGTGCACCGCAAGAGGTAAGAAGTTGAAAGAAGGGAAAAAGTTTCAAGAAGGGAGGAAATAAAATTTCCCAATCGTGGAAAGTCGATCAATTGTGCACAGCAAGTATAGATATAGTGGGCGGTTGCAAACAGAAACAAGAAATATTCTTCTTGTCCAAAAATGTTTTTTTTTTAAATTGCCTGATTGTACAGCGCACTTGTGGGGCTTTATTGGCTTTATTGGCTTTAAAACTTGTGGCTTTATTGGTCATTTAAATGAATTAAGGAAGATTATTAAACATTTTTATGTTCATTTATCGAATGAATGTAATTGAAATAAACCTTTAATAGTTGGTTCCCGCCTGTAGCTGCTCCAGTACTCGACCTCGGCCGCCTCATGCTGCTCCATGAGCTGCATTTCCACCCTCTCCTGCAGACAAGGCCTGTCGTTCCTGTTGCCCTCATCCACTCTGGGCCTCAGCATTGGGTCCCCTGGCCCAGCAGTGTCCCCATCGTTGGGGACTTGGCCCTCGCAACGATCCACGTTATTTAGTGGTAAGTTAAGAGCGCTCGGCTGGCGCGAGGGACTCGTGCTAGCCGGATGGAAGAGCGCCGTGATGTTCGTCCGCACTTTCGCTTCCTCCGGACTGCGTGTCGCGATCTGCACACACAAACATATTTGTAAACAATGTTCCATATTTAAATTTTTGACGGCGATCTTTTAGATGGTAGTTTGGAATCGTAAGAAATTAAAACTACAATCATTTAATCGTAAGAAAGGAAGTCTACAATCATAAGAGATATTTAAATCTTTTTCACCGTATACATTAACCGCGTGGTAAATATCGTTCGTATATGTGAACGCTATTTATTTAGACTTAATGCTAGTACGCGTAAAGTTGATTTCAACTTTCCTTGTAAAATCTTCCTATTCGATTTATAATTTTAGAAAGTACCTGCAGTTATTAATGAATATTCAAATTGTTAACGATCTGCTTCCTAACCTTAGAATGATTGATTTCGAATTTTATTTCTAATTTTAGTGAGTTAATAAATGCTATAATTATCAGTTATCCAATAAATCAATATGGCTAAGAAGTCTTCAAGTTACGTCATCCATTGACGCTGGAAACGCATTTATAAAAGTTACGTCATCCAGTGACGCTGGAAAAATGTTTATAAAAGTTACGTCATCCAGTGACGCTGGAAAAGCGTTTATAAAAGTTACGTCATCCAGTGACGCTGGAAAAGTTTATAAAAGTTACGTCATCCAGTGACGCTGGAAAAGTTTATAAAAGTTACGTCATCCACTGACGCTGGGAAAGCGTTTATAAAAGTTACTTCATCCAGTGACGCTGGAAAAGCATTTATAAATGTTACGTCATCCACTGACGCCGGAATAGCGTTTATAAAAGTTACGTCATCCAGTGACTCTGGAAACGCATTTATGAAAGTTACGTCATCCACTGACGCTGGAAACGCATTTATAAAAGTTACGTCATCCACTGACGCTGGAAACGCATTTATAAAAGTTACGTCATCCACTGACGCTGGAAACGCATTTATAAAAGTTACGTCATCCACTGACGCTGGAAACGCATTTATAAAAGTTACGTCATCCACTGACGCTGGAAACGCATTTATAAAAGTTACGTCATCCACTGACGCTGGAAACGCATTTATAAAAGTTACGTCATCCACTGACGCTGNCAACATACCGAGCCACCACGCCCCAACATACCGAGCCACCAAGCCCCAACATACCGTGCCACCACGCCCCAACATACCGAGCCACCACGCCCCAACCCAGCGAGGGTCGCTGGTGGGGAAGCCAGGGTCCTGCATGGGGAAGACGTAGAGTCTCGTGCACACCGACCCCAACATGAAGCCGAACGTGGGGCCCAGGATACGCACGGCGCTCGTCGTCGCTGCAATATTCAGCAATTACTCATCCTATTCATCCGTCGTGGCTTATGTGTTCAGCAATGATCAACATTCATATAATTCATGTGCACCGCGCTCATTGTTGCTGCAATATTCATAAATTATTCATCTCATTCATCTGACGTGGCTGAAGTGTTCAGCAATGATCAACATTCATATAGTAATTCATGTGTACGGCGTTGGTCGTGGCTGGAATTTCGATCTATGATTAACATTCATCCGATTTATCCGTCGTGGCTGAAGTAGTAATCAATAATCAACACTCATCCAATTCATCCGTCGTTGCTGATGTAGTAATCAATAAGCAAAACTCATCCAATTCATCGGTCGTGGTTGAAGTAGTAATCAAATTGTCTTGAGAAGACCACAACAAGCGCCAACAATTTGAGGTTCTGTCAGTCTCAAAGTGGTTGTTAAATTGGTCATTTTGTTTGGATACGTCTATAAATTTTCCTTCACTAACAGTAAAATGCTAATAGAAAACATTAAAAAACTACAGCGGCAAAATTTAAACTAGTAAGCTCAGGTCTATTTTAACCGTTGAACCTTTGACGAGTTATCCAGCGTCATTAAATAGTAACTGGTCGTTCAATTTCAACTATTAAGGGTTATAACTTATCGAAAACGTTTTTATTCAAATTGAACGCATTTACCGACTATATATAACGTTATGAAATAGTAACTGGTATTCGCTTTCAATTTTCAAGAGTGCAACTAAATAAAATAATAATCTTTTTGACTATTACCCATTAATGTATCGCAAGTATTTCATCGAACTACCTTATAAGATATGAATATCCTCACCGAAGTACATTGGTGAATCCTTGTTGTCAACGTTGTCGTCGATGTAAGGAATACCTAAGTTGACGACAGCCGTTTGTCCGATGCCCACGCCTATAAGAGCTAAAAAGAAGAGTCCCAGAACAAAATTTGTGAGGCGGCTTGGATCTTCACACGCGATGGACGTATTGTTCTGGAATTCAAAGCTTGAATTTGCATCATTCTCCCACGCAGAAGTAAGTGACACAGGTCCAGTTACGTTGCAAATATTGAAATCCTCTAGCATTTCGTCACCGGAATTTACAGAGTGTGGAAATGGATTGGTCTCGGTGAAACTGAAAATGAAATGAGGTACTGCGCACAAGAACGTACACATTGAGAAAAGAACCATGCCCCAGGCGATCCAACGTGGCCTATGACCGTTGCCTCCATAGTAAGCGAGGAATAGCGATCCTCCGATCTGTCCGACCTCCGTTGCGCTCATCACAATGCCCGTAACTTGACTACTGATCCTGTAAAGTTTCTGGATCGTGGATAGACCGCTGGCAAAGTATGTGTAGAACATACCCTGCAGCACCGTCGTTAAGCAAAATATCACCATGAATGTTTGTCTTGAAGCCAAATGTTGACAGCAGCCACATGTTCCCCCTATGCCACATTTAGTTTCCTCCTCAGGGTCGCGTTGGCTCTTGCGAAAACTAACGAACTCTGCGTGCGTGCCGTTGCGGCTTCCGTTACATTGCGCGCGCTGAGGTTTTGGAGGTGGTAAAACACGACTGCATCCGTTGACTAAACGTGGCACAAGCACTTCGGTCTGATCGTCAGTCTCAAACGCATGAAAGTTCCCGATAACGACGCCAGAGTCTTCAGTAAGACTCTTGTTCTTCTTCTTTGGAGACGAAGACGCCGATCGCTGGCCATCTTCGTCTTTTGATGAACTCGTACTGAGTTTAGATCGTCGTTTCTTGCAAGGATCCGGCGGCGAGGTCGCGAGTTCTCCGATGTTACTACAAGCAGCAACCTCCGCAGAATCAGTTTTCGGAGCATCGCCGCTGGAAATCGGCTTTTGTTCCGAGGAATTCCTCGAGAAATCCGTCACGGGATTTCCTCGCTCGCTGGCGCCATCAGCTCCTGGCCGCTGTTCCTCCACAGCCATGCTGGCCTTTGGACACTCAGGAGCCGGCACAGTGAACACCTTCGCGGCAGTCGCCGGCCATGTCTGAAAATAAAAATTTCAGTTAAAATACGAAAAATTTTGGAAATATAAAGCAGTAATGTGGCTGCATCTACTCTTATTTTATACCTTGTCTACGTACGGTATACATTTAATGCTTTTAATTATTTACATCCATTAAATACTTTGATTATAGACATCCATTTAATCCTTAAATTATTATAGATATCCATTCAATATTTTAATTATTGACATCCATTTAATACTATAATTACAGACATCCCTTCAATACGTACTTCAATTATAGATATCCATTTAATATTTTAATAACATACATTTATTCAATACATTAACGTTCATGTTTCTCAAGGCCAAGATACCCTCAGTAGACAAAGGGTTTGCCTGTTGGTCAACGGATCCATTTACCATTGGCAACGAATTTGTATATTAATTCATAACTTTTTTTACCGCTAATAAATTTTCTAAAATTATTCGGATGACTATAGATCGAATTGGTTAAAAATAATTTTTAACTAATCAGATGATTTTTACGCCGTTAGCATATACTTTTTGCCGTTCGTCACCACAATTAACCGTACAGATTCCTACAGGAATGATGGATTCGTTTTACGCATATGTAGAGCAGGGCCTATGCTTTCAAAATTCGCCAAGTGAACGTAAGTACTTATACGCTCTATTTTCTTGTCTACGATTGGTGGATTTTGCTTGAAAGGCCGTCAATGTTTGGCTGATGAACTTACGATCACTTAACTTTTTTTGAACATATAGGCCCAGGTGTCTTCAAATATTCACGCTATCTTCATTGCATCTCCCCTATTTCCCTAAGTGAATTAAGTGAATATTTATGTCGAATGCTTAAATAATGTTAGGTATATTAGCAACGACTACAGCGTTTCTGACGAATGCGCCGTCTTCCTGAGTCGTCAGCATATCAGATTTTTCACTCATATTTATTAATGATACTTATTGTTCAAATTGCGATGCACTTTTTCTAGCTTGTTTGGGTCATGCTGATCAAGTTTGTCCCGGAAAAATACGTCTGTGCAAGCTAGGAGTAAAAACTTGTATCACTATTTGGACAATATATGACCCATTCATTTTCCTGAGTGATTTTTTGGACACGCCGCCGCCGCAACGGCCCTGGATCCGAAGGTCCCGTCTGGGTTCAGTGTCCAGTCGTCTATTGTTCTTTCCTACCTTCATTGCAAGACGTCTCGGTCGTCCTGAGGAATCTTTGGGACCGACGAATTCAGAAAAAAAGCAAATGAGCTTGCAAAATTTGCTCCAAATATTGCTATCCAAATTTTATTACTGATGAAAATAAGCCACACATTGACTGGAGGTTGACAACAGCCAAAAATGCGTATCAAGATTCTTCTTGTTCAATAAAAAATGTATGCCTAATAAAAGCCAATTGGAACTTCGTATCTGTGAAACTAAATTAGAGTCGTAAAATGAAATTGAATACAATTTATCTAAACCTGTTCAAAATTACATAAGAAAGTGTTATTAGGGGAATTCCAGCACGGTAAAAAAAGATTGATTAGACGACAATTGCTCTATATAAGCGTAATTTTTTCAACGACCTTCTTTGCAAGATTTTTCCTGCCAGAAAATATTGAAAGGATATATCCGTTCAAACCAGGATGAGAGCCTGTACATTTTTGTCGACAATGTCCGTTTCTGAATAGGCCATTCTGGCTCATAAAAATGTAAAATGAAAATTCCATTGTGTTTACTGCCAGTTTGAGTACAGGTTTGATGCTCAATAACTTCGCTGCTTACGCTTGTATTGATTAAAAAGCACCTAATCGGAACCCATGATATTTTATAAATAAACGCCCATGAAATTTCACAACGTTTGTGGTGACGTTCAACTTTGCGTGGTCGACCGTACTTTTTGCATCGTTTGCATGTACCGTGAAGAAAACAAATTTAAATTTAACCTCAACATCTTGACTACGTGATCAAAGATACGCATACGATTCATGTATTCCAGTTTGTACAAACTTGTTTGGTGACAACGAAGCTTGATTACGCAATGCAAATCACAGGGGAAAGATGAAGCCTTTCGACACCTTCCCTATATACCGGTACGTCAGATTTGATTTGCTCGCGACCTGGATTTTGAAATTCATGACGCAAATGAAATTCCCGACGTAAATGAAATTCATGAAGATTACAAATGAGATGTACTCTCGACAAAAATATTTCTAGGTGCTGCATCTTCATGGCCTTCATGATGCATACAATTCAAGTCTTGTTTCGAATTCCAGGAAATCACCAGCCGTATTCTGTACTGACGTGACGTAAGATTCGTAGAACCCAGATCTATTGTATTCAGTACACAAGAACATTAATAGATTGAGAGGAAGATGTCTGAGGCCTTGATAGTGGGGGCGAGAAATGATATTCAATGGAAAAGTATGTGAATGTAAAAAATTTAAATTTTTTTCTTAATTCTATTGCGATATAGGCATAGATCATTTTCATCACTCACGATGCAACTGGAGTGAACATGTCTATCAGAATCCTGAACTCCAAATCCATCCAAAAGTATTCGAAATTTCTATCAGATTTTTTTATTGATTTACCAATGAAGTAATTTTGCACTTCAATGAGACAACGTGGCTATTATGCCCATTTTTGTAGACTATTTCTCGTTTTTATCGTTTTATTTTCACAGCGCTGTCACAGCTCTGGTGAAAAAATGAATGCCAACAAATAAGGGTCCATACAATCTTGAACCTATTTTTATGTTGCTCGCCAGGCGATCAGTGTGTGAAGAATACGGCCAAGAAGTTGCACGCGGAGCAATGTCTTCTCTGTTCCCGAAACTTGGAAAAAGTTGCAAATGACAACGAAGATTCTTTTCAGAGCGAGCGTTACGTGTCTCGACGCTTCGGCCATTGGCCGGCATGGCAGTCGCTCAACGCAATTAAAGTTGGTCGATGTGGTTCAGGGGCCGAACTATCATAAATAAGTAACAGTTCGTAAACCGTCTGCCAATCACTGACGGTTTTTCAAGCTAAACCCACCAATCACAGACGAGGAATTGGACGCTACGTGTGCTTAAATGAGTTATGAGAGTACGGACGGCCCTTGCTGGGCAAATATGCATGTTCTGAACTATAAATCATAATTTCCGCATATTAAATCATTTGCAAGCAATTTATGATGCAATACAATGATAAATGCACGTTAAAAGTACAACTGTACCTATGATTACAAGGTACCAAGATAAACATCGCCACGTATGAGTCCTGCGACATTGGCTTCTAAATCCGCCATAATCGCACTGTTAAAGCAGCCGACATTCAAAGTTGTCACAACAAGCAGCCGACATTCAAAGTTGTCACACCAAGCAGCCGACATTCAAAGTTGTCACAACAAGCAGCCGACATTCAAAGTTCGCCATAGTAGTAGCAATAAGGCAGTCGACATTTGCAACACGTTGGTTACACTGTAACACGTTGGTCACACTGTCACAAGTCGTCAATATATGGTGCGTGGAGACAAGAGAGTAGAAGCTCGTATCACCAACCGGTCGTGTCGCCCAAATGTCGCTTGCGCTTCTGCTTGCAGTGGCGCCAAACCCAGGTATGCATCACTCAGACACATTAATGGGAATTTGTCCAAATAGATATACACTTTTAGCTTTTGTGTGCCGCATCCTGATCGAGTTTGACGTAGTAAAAAGGCGAATCAGTGCTACGTCCACTCTCTGCTCGTGCTGTATGAAAGTGGTTCCCTTTATGGACAATATAACTCGTCAATTTCTTTCAATATCGCCACGCCCATTAAATTGGGGTTCGGTCGCTGGTTGGGATTGGCTCAAGTTGCAACGTTCAGGTTTTATAATAAATGCAGGTTCGATCATGAATGCAGGATATTTGCTGAATGCTATCATGCCAATTATCATTTGAGTAAAACCTTGCAACGCATTAACCCGTGTTGAAAATACTGCATGCTAATCCGATGCAATGTATTTAGCAATTATTACTACGCATTAAAGCTACACAAGGTACACTTGCATGTTTTTTACTGAATTTTAATGGGGTGAAAAACTATGTTGAAAAATGCCTTGCTTTAGGATTGCCCGAAGGCTTGGTTATTATCGAAAAGTCATCATGGATGAGGCAGACATTACGAAACTGAGCCATTATTGGAGACGATCATTATATCATAATCATCTTCTACGGGTATCGTAAGCTAAATCTAAATTGTTTTCACTTTAAATTGTTAGTCCTGAATCCAATACTCGTAGTGACTGACTAAAAATTAATTACCTTTTCACCGAAGCTCCATTGCGTTGCGAAAAAAATTGGCGCCATTGCGGACAGCCATTTAAAACCGGCAATGTGAACACAAAAGAGCGGTAATGATCCCTGCTTTTAGATGCACATTCAAATGTAGCACATCCGCATTATCATTAGCAGCTATAACAGTAGCAGCAGCAATAGGTCAAAGTAGAGACAATAATGAGTAGCGAACAAGCATTAAATCCTTTCCTGCAGCAAAGCAACACCAACAGAGGCGTTAGCCGAAGCCAAGCTCAGTAATTAAATTCTATCATGGAGATGCTAAAACATTATTTGAATATAATTCAGATTTCACGTGTGATTGTATTAGGTTTGTGAAGTACTACCATTTTGATGTTTCAGAGGTAAAGCCATAAACCCTTTACGATAAAAATCATAAACTAAGAAGTAGAACATGTCTAAAAGTTTAATGCTTGTTGATTACGTGTTGCTTGTTCGTTATTTCCTGTGTGGCAATAAAGTATAATTTTCGCTTCTAATTTTCCCGTCAATTTACTTAGGTAATATCAAACTAAGTAAGTCGATCTATTCATAATATTTTCAAGCGCTTTATTCGGTCTCAATTATAATATTTTTAGCGCATTTTCACATTTATGGAAAAAAGGCGCTATTGTGCTCGTCATGTGCGTCCGTCTGTCTGTCTCTCTGTCAGTCCGTGACTTCACGTTTTCTCCGACGAGAAAATGTGCTCTATGTCACTCA